GGTGCTGGTGCTGCTGGTGCTGGTGCTGCTGGTGCTGGTGCTGGTGCTGCTGCTGCTGCTGCTGCTGGTGCTGGTGCTGGTGCTGGTGCTGGTGCTGGTGCTGGTGCTGCTGGTGCTGCTGGTTCTGCTGGTGATGCTGGTGCTGCTGGAGTTGCTGGAGCTGCTGGAGCTGCTGGTGCTGCTGGTGCTGCTGGAGGCTGCGGCAACGGTGGCGATGGCATAATTAGTCATGATGACCGCTTCGATTACACTGAAGGATGACCATCGCTCCATCATCAGCCCCAATATCATGGTCAAGAAATTGCCAGGAATGCTCTCATCCCTGTTATGTCTGCGGATCTGGAACAGCTAACCTGAAACCCGGGCAGCACATTTGGCATCCCAAACTCAGAAGTAATGCACGGAGAAACATCAGCAGCTCAAACACTCAAGCTAAACCCGAAACGTGCCTGCGCGAGCTACGGCTGTTTCAAGTTCCTACACGGCAACTTTCCCGACCCAAACCAACAATCCAAAACAAGTCAAAAGCCTGAAGCCCTAAAGCAGCCAAGCCCTCAACCCCAAACCCTAAAGTCCCGACATACCCAAAACCGTAGAAACGGCGACAACAAAAACCATACCACACAGTACCCGCCTACCTCCCTCCCGGCTCCAAAAAAACACGATAGCTGAAGTCCTCAAACCCCTGAAGCCCTAACGAGCCTTGTTCACCTGAGCAGCCTGCAGCTTCTCCTGCTGGTCGCCCACGGTTTCGAGAGGCTCAAAAGGCTTTGGAGGGAGTTTCACGGGTTTGTGGGGTTCTATTTTGATGAGGGTTCCAAGGTTTTGAGGCTTTAGGGTTTAGGTCTTCTGCTTGTCTAAATTTAGAGAAGTCTAAGTCCTAAGCCCAAGAAGTTTGAGACCGCGAATGCACACAAAAGCTCCAGCCCCCGAAATCAAAACCCGGAAAGCCAGTTTAAGCCCTAAACTCCAAACATCAGCCTGGGCCCCGAACTCAAAACGCTAACCAAGCCCCACATCCCGAAAACCCGCTTCAACCGTTGGCCTCGGATTGCAGGCCCCTCTCTCCCTCCCTCCCTCCCTCCCTCCCTCCCATGCACCTTGAGGGCTCGAAGTTCCTCTGATCCGTTGCACACTTGCTGCCGAACCACTTCCTTCCGGACCTCGCCAGAATGGCCAGAAAGAGGTTTGCAATTATAGCAATAGCGCGAAAAACAGCTGTTGTTATTGGCGAGACAAACATTTGCTGTTTGTAAGGAGTCAGAGTGAAATCCGAATCGAGCACCGCAAGGATATGTGGTTTATTTGCAGAGGACCGACCATGTTTCCTGAGCGGGCTTTTCGGGCCTAGAGGTGGAGGTCTGCTTGCCTGAGTCACTGGAGCTTCCGGGTTGAGGTCGCCAATGGGCAAAACCCCGTGGACACGCATACTTGCACGACTGATTGCTATGCCCAGAACAAACTCCCCGAACCCTACGTTATCGATTCGGCCGGAAGCCTTCGAAGTGTCCGATACCCTGAGCCCTCAAACCTTAGCCTTGGAATGCGAGGCAACCCGTAGACCTAGACCTGCAAAGATCTGTGAAAGAGGCCGTCAAAGGCTACCTGCGGATTTTGTACCCAAGTTCTGCACGACTTGGGGGTTAAGGACTGTAGGTCGAACATTTTAGGTCGCCGGGCCTGGGATGAAAAGTTTAAGAGTTGGGGTTTGGAGCTTAAGAGGCTCCAACCTCCAAACCCAGAATTCGATATGCACATGGCATCATGTGCTTTCGTCAAGGCTGAGGGCATAACCCGGAGTTGAAGACCCTAAACTCCACCGAAAGGAAACCCCTAAGCTCATATTATCCTCCATCCCTAAACAAACCCGGGCCCTTTTCCTCTCAAGGGCCTGCTGGGCCTTTCTTCTCGCGAGCTCCTCGGCAAGCAGCCTCGGACTCACTTCTGCGCAGGTCTTACGGAGTTGGGCTTGTGGCTTTCCATAGAGTCTATTTCCAGGAATTTAAGGCCGTCTCCGAACCAAGACTTGCTATTTCGCGCTGGTTTGGACTCAGGATGGACGTGCCGGGGATGGTCCAATAGTCTAGAAAAGTACAGATCCGGTCACGTAACAAGAGGCGACGTTTTTCGAATTCCAAAAATTGGCGTGCTTCTGCCTTGCTCACCAAACCCTCCAAACAGCCCCGAACCCTGTGCCCTCTGAGTGGGTGGCTCCTCGAACTCAGCAATCTGCCGGCGGTTCTCCTTCTCCTGCTTTTGGCACTCGCCGACTAAACCACCGTAAACACCGCATAGCTCTAGAACACCAGCTCTTTCGCAACCCGGCGAAAGTTGAAACTTATGAATCCTAGACTCCCTTTAAACCCTTTACACCTACAAACTCTCCAAGCTCTAACCCCTTGACTCAACTCCTTCGTTTCAGGTGTACTCCGAATTCTCGGCCTCGGGAATAAAAGTTAAAGCCCTCGGAAGCTGGAAACTGGTCCGGACTGCC